GCCAAAAATACATTCAAGTGAAAGCAAAAAATATATAGCTACATCAAATGTACTCATGTGTTATAAAGTAAAAAGTAAATATTTTTAACTGAGGAAATTTATTTCCTTGTTTATTATTTCATTTAAAGTTTTATTTATTTCATTTTTAAATTCGCATACTCCGGCATATTGCAGCATTTTACTGAGGTAGGTCCAGAGGCGTTCCTCCTCAAGTTCCACACTGCAGTTCAGTGGACCATCCATCATCAGATGTACACAGATAGTTACAGCATTGACTATATTGTGTAGCATGAGAAGGTCACAGCAGATGAGGAATTCACACGATTCTTTAGATTTTTCTACTTTAATGGACTTGAATGGATGCTGAACTCATTCATACAGTAACTGACTGGATAAGGGAAGAAGAGACCTTCAAGAACTGTAATGAGTACTTGGACAGTCTAAATAAATAAATTAAATAAAAATTAAGAAGTATAAAGTACATTTTTGTGGAAATATAATTAAGTGTACAAGTATTCAATTTCAGTAATACTCTAGTAAAGGATCTAAATTTGTCAAAATAATACTTAAGTATAGTAACAAAGTACAAATACTCAAGTGATTTCAACCCCTGATGAAATAGATAGATAGATAGACAGATAGACAGACAGATACATAGGTGGATAGATAAATAGAGAAAATTACATTACATTAGAACATTATTACTCGGATTCGAAGCACGAAATATGAAGAGATCAAACCGAATAAATGCGTGGTGTTAGCTTGTGTTTGGAATAGTATAGTGTCGCGTGACGATATTTAAAACGGGATTAATAACCGCCGGTTGCTTTTTTCTTTTTTCTGTCAGTTTGGCTCGCGCGTGGTGCCGTGTGTGTGTGTGTGTGTGTGTGTGTGTGTGCGCGCGCGCGCGCTTGCTATGCTGTTTAGAGCAGGGGTGTCAAACTCATTTTCACCGAGGGCCACATCAGCATAATGGTTGCCCTCAAAGGGCCAGATGTAACTGTAAAACAGTATACATGTAACCAAATATAATGTATAATAAATGTAACTACTCCGTAACATATTGTTAAATAACTTTCTGTATTTATTACTTATTGAAGTTACAAATATTACATATGCATTTGCATAGCTTGTTGCTCTGTTACTATAACAATAATCCTTTAAATTTTCAGGTTAAGAAACCCACATTACTCCATTGATCAACAATCAAACTATTCAAGTAAATAACGAAAAATATGATCAAAACACAAGTTATAACATTAACTTTGTTTAAAACATTTTTAACACAGTCGAGAGGGTCAGAATAACATAAACCAACCAGCTGCTAAGAACATGTGTGACAGATGTAGCATTTTACAAAAATAAATGGCTGCACACAGCCTTGCAGGAGTAAACATTTGTCTGCATAAACACATAAACCTGTAAACAACAATTCAGTTGGGCGAGATGCTCAATTATGTCACATAGGATAGCAAAATCACACAGTTAGTTTGGATCTGACAGTTCAGACAAGGGTTTTCTTTTACTCTGCATGAAAACAGCAATGTCTTCCCTAAGCTCAGAAAATCATTTGAGGATTTTGCTCCTACTCAGCCACCGCACTTCTGTATGGTAGGGCAGGTCTCCTTGCTCCGAGTCCATCTCCTGCAAGAACAGCTGGAACTGGCGGTGATTCAGGCCCGAATGAAGTTCACCGTTTTCATTACTGTGGTCATTATATTATCCACCCCCAGCACCTTTCCACACAAAGCTTCTTTGTGTATAATACAATGATAAGCTATCAGAGGCGTGTGACAGTTACTGTTTTTCATTTTCTCCTTCATTAATCCAACCAAGCCCGTTTTTCCGGTGAACCATCTGTAGTTAATCCCACCAACTTTTCCCAGGGCAATCCAGTTTTACTTACGGACTTCTCCACCGCTTCATAAATATCCTGTCCCGTTGTGGTCCCATGCATGGCAGCTACATCCAAGAGCTCCTCGGTCGGCGACAGAGAGGTCAGACTTCACGCCTCTAATAAAAATGGATAGCTGTGCAGTGTCCGTGTTGTCTGTGCTTTTATCAACAGCTAATGAAAAGGCTGTGTAACTGCGTGACTCTTCTGCCAGCTGTGTTGACAGGTTTCCTGCTAGGTCCTTGACTCTGTCCGCGATGATGTTTCTTGACAAACTGACATTTTGAAAAGTCTGTATCTAGTCGGGGCACACACACTCACACACACCTGCCCACACACACACACCTGCCCACACAGCCACAATAAAGCTAGCTTTCACTGCTGCATCGTTTTTGGTGGTGGCTTTTGTGAACACATTCTGTTGCGATCGCAGTTTGCCTTTTAATTCTTTGGCAATTTGTTGTTTTTCTTTAAGGCTAAATTTAGCATACTTGGCTCCGTGTTTGGTGTCAAAATGCTGATGTAGATTGTACTCTTTGACGACTGACACCGCCTCATAACACACAAGACATACCGGTTTTTCTCCTTGAAGCACAAACATATATTTGCCTTCCCATCTTTCATGAAACAGCCTTCCATCTGCATCAATCTTTCACTTCCTTGACATTTTGGGATCATTTGTGGATATTTCTCAATCTGCTCGATCTCACTTGTCACATTAATTAAACACTGATGTGGACACTGCGATCTAGTGGCGGGATGACGTCACTTCGCGGGTAACATAATCGCCATGCATTGTGGGAAATGTAGTTTATGGTCAATGCACGATTTAAAGCAACATAGACCTATTTTAAGACAACCTTTTTTAAAAGACCAATTAAGCACTCGCGGGCCACATAAAACGACGTGGAGGGCCACATCTGGCCCGCGGGCCTTGAGTTTGACACATGTGGATTAGTCAGTCCTGTCAGTAACCAGTTCTGTGCTGTGTTTTAAACTGAAACTGGATGTAGGATTCGCTCCTGAGGGGATCACAACACACAGAGTAAGTATCTTAAGTCGTTTTGTTGTGTAGTTTTCTTTGTGTGAGCGTGTGTGCGCGCGCGCGTGTGTGTGTAATCCCCAGTGAGAGATGGAGTCAGTGCGCCCTCTAGTGTTCCACTCTGAGCTGGATGAACAAATGACTGATAAAATGAACAAGTTATGAATATTCATAAACACTTCTTTAAAATAGTAGAATATTAACCACACTACATTTGAAGTATAGTTTCATCTGAATCGCCTTCATGTTTTAGGCCACACCTCTTACCTGAGTGTGATACAGTCAGAAACAACATCAGCGAGTCTGTCTGAGACACTAAACACCTCCACAAAGTGATTAGAGACGCCACTGTGAGAGCATTTACAGTGGATATAAAAAGTCTACACACCCCTGTTACAATGGCAGGGTTTTGTGAAGTAAAAGAATGAAACTAAGATAAATCATGTCAAAACTTTTCCCACCTTTAATGTGAAATTGCAAAGTATACAAATAAAGTGAAAACAATCAGAAACCTTTCAGAGAAAAAAAAAAAACTTACAATAGCCTGGTTGCATAAGTTTGCACACCCCTAAGCTAATACTTTGTTGAAGCACCTTTTTATTTTATTACAGCACTCAGTTATTTTGGGTAAGAGTCTATCAGCATGGCACATCTTGACCTTGGCAATATTTTCCCGCTCTTTCTTCTGAAAGGAATTTGTCACCTTTAGATTAGATTACTGTAATGCCTTACTGTCTGAATGTTCCAGTAGGAATATAAATAAACTCCATTTAGTCCAGAATGCAGCTGCTAGAGTCCTAACTAGAACTAGAAGATATGACCACATCACACCAATATTATCCACACTGCATTGGCTCCCAGTGAAATCTCACATTAACTATAAAATGCTTTTATTTACCTATAAAGCACTAAAGGGTCTCGCATCACAATATCTAAGTGACCTTTTGGTTTTATATGATCCTCCACGCCTACTCAGATCAAAAGATGCAGGCTATTTGACGGTACCTCGAATAGTGAAGGCTACAGCAGGGGGAAGAGCCTTCGCTTATAGAGCCCCACAGTTATGGAACAGTCTTCCTATTAGTGTTCGGGACTCAGACACAGTCTCAGCGTTTAAGTCTAGGCTTAAAACGTATTTGTTTACTCAAGCCTACACTGATTAGATTCTATTTTTACTACTTCGCAGTCGTAACAATCTTTTTTCTCCCTCTCTCCTTTTGCCGAGCCACACACAAATTTATGGAGATACTAGAGATCCAGATCCTTTCTGCCTCTGGATGGAGCACAAATCTTCTCTAATTCCAGACTGCTGGGACTACGGCTGCTCCTAAGGCCATACAGACTTCATATAAATCCATAATGAACTTTTTCACACTGTCTGATGTTATCCAGATGAGGACGGGTTCCCTTCTGAGTCTGGTTCCTCTCAAGGTTTCTTCCTAAACATCTTACGGAGTTTTTCCTTGCCACCGTCGCCACTCAGTGGCTTGCTCAGTTGGGATAAATTCACCTTTAATATCTGTATACCGTGTTGATATTTCTGTAAAGCTGTTTTGAGACAATGTCTATTGTAAAAAGCGCTATACAAATAAAACTGAATTGAAAACATTCTAGATCCAACAATTTGTAAGGGCATCTCCTGTCCACAGCCTGCTTCAGGTCACCCCACAGATGTTTAGATGGATTCAGGTCTGGACTCTGGGTAGGCCAATCAAAAACATTGATCTTCTTTTGGTTAATCAATTCCTTTGTTGGTTTGAATGTATGCTTTGGGACATTGTCTTGCTAAAAAGGGGAAATTCTTTTCATCTTCAGCTTACTTGAAAACAGCTGAATGTTTTATATTATGTTTTATATTTATGTTTTATACTAAAATTGGTATTTGTACCCATTCGTGATTCCCTCACCTTAAAAAAAAAAAGCCCCAGTTGTGGCTGAAAAAGCATCCCTAAAGCATGACGCTTCCACCACCATGCTTCACCATGGGGATAGTGTTCTTTTGGAATTATACCTTTTGCAATTGGTCTCATTAAAACATAACACATTTTGCCACATAGTGAAGGGCGCATGGTGGCTTAGTGGTTAACATGTCCGCCACACCTCCAGGGTCTGGGGTTCGATTCCCCGGAATGCGGAGTCTGCATGTTCTCCGGTTTCCTCCCCAGTCCAAATCCCCCAGTCCAAATCCCTGATTGGCGTGTCCAAAGTGTCCGTAGTGTATGAATGAGAGTGTATGTGATTGTGCCCTGCGATGGACTGGCACCCTGTCCAGGGTGTACCCCGCCTTGTGCATGATAGCTCTAGATTGCCCGCGACCCTGAAAAGGAGTAAGCAGTAAGCGGTAGAAGATGGTTGGATGGAAGTTAGTTAGCATCCATTCCAGTTGGATGGAAGTTAGTTAACGTCTAATGTCCTTTACACATTCCTCAAATGTATTAATCAGTTTTCACTGAAACATACAGCTGTGTATCATCAGCATAACAGTCGAAGCTAATTCCATGTTTACAAATAATTTGACCCACAGTACATACATATAAGAGATCTTAGATGCAAGAGATCTAATATTTAATAATCTTAACTTCAGATTAAAGGTGCTGATCTGAAGCTCGTTTACTCAGAGTTAATGGAGAACCTCAACTTTCGGTTCCAAAAACAGAGGTAACTTTCAGGGTATGTACTGTAGCCATAGCTACTTACTCTCTGAACATCACCTGGTCTGAAGCAGGTTATGTTCCAGGATGAGTTTGTTTCAGAGAGCTGATGGAGCACAGCGTGGCCTTATGAGTTATGTCCTGTGGACGAGGAAGCACGGATTATATGAAATCTTTTTCACTGTGAGAGGAAGATAAGACCAGGATGAATATTTCAGGAGTGTTACCATCATTCACATGAATCATGAATTTATTTAACAAATAAATATGAGAGAGTGGACAAGACAATAACACCAGTAATACACAGAGGCAACAAAACAGGGGCTACACAAGCACTCCCACCATCAAAAACAAATAGTACTAGATCACACTTTCTATACAGTACACAACATACAAAAAGGAGAAATGAGTGTACATTGAGATGTTTATTTTCCTCCTCAAAACAGTAAACTATACAGTTATTGTTAGAGATTTAACACATGAATATGTCTGTGTGTTAATGATGTGTGTATACAGTGTAACGCATTTAAAAGTAAGAAGTGGTCACATGTTCATAATCACATTTAATGTGTGTAAACTTGTTAAAATGACACGTGCAGTATGTGGAACACGTGAAACAAGCCCTTTGCACGTGGAAAACGTGTGTTTTTGGAACACTTTCATGGTTTAATGTGTGAATCCCATGTAAATTCCCACGTGATACCCATGTGATTACATGTGAGACACAAGTGGGTGTGTACAATACAAAATAGTCTTTCTATTATTTTTTTGGGTTTAGACTCCCCCCCCCTCCACACAGGCAGCAGAAGATTGAGAGAAGTTTTGATGATTGGGAGCCATTTTGTGAAAAGAAAAACAAAACTGTGAATGAAATGGATTCATACAAAATAACATTGTGAATCTGAGGATAATCAAAATCTTCAGAAGTATTTATTTATTAATTTGTTTGTTTTTATAGTATTTAAATTATTATATATTTTTTACATCGCAGCATTTATGAGCATTTTTGAGCACTGCATTTATTAATACTGTTTTTATAACGGCTTCGTCCCAATCCGCACTGTGCCCCCCCTCTGAATGGGATGAGCTGCTCAACTGTCACATACGCACCAACATTGTAGTTTTTCCTGCAATTTTCAATGAAGGTGTTCCAGAGTGATGTGACTCACTCTGGAAATTAGTTATAATTAGTGATTAGTGGGAAACCTCAGTTTGGTGAGGACATAACAGAAAATTATACTTTCCTATTGTCATAAATGACTTGACTAATACACTCTTTCCTCAGGGGTTCTGAGCTTCCTACATAGAGCATTTAAAGGTTCCTTCACAAGGACAAACCAAAGAACCTGAAGGGTTTATGGTTGTGGACATATCTATCTATTTTTTCTTTTAATTTATATCGATCATACAATTTATAGTATGCTACATTAGTATTTAATCAGACCTTGAGGGACTGCTTTGTTTAGTGCTCCATCTTGCATCACTCTCTAGACCAGATTCAGGTCCAGAATCAGTCTGTATTGATTACTGCGTACACAACTAGAGACTAAGGTCCCTCACACAGAGTCACATTCATATAGCAAGCATTCATATATTCACATACAATCTGCAAACAAAGGCAGAACATATAAAATTTCAGTCATGTTCTAAATAGAAGTATGCAGACACTATATTGTGGAACTTTACAATAAACTCAAAATGGAGTCGCTTCATTAGTCTCTCCAACATACAGCATATATAGAATAGTCTGTATGATATGTAACCATAAAATTTGACAGGTCTAGGTCAAAGGTCAAATAGATATGGGTCAAAGGTCATGGTCATAAAATTTGATACGACACCTGTTGCGGCCATGTAGGTCCCCATCCGTTACGGATAAACATAGACACACTATTAACACGTAGGACGCAAAATAATAGATATAGCTATGTTAAATAAGGATCAAATACATTTCTGACACACACATTACGACACCTGTTGCGGCCATCCCCATCTGTTACGGATAAACATAGACACAATGTTCACACATAGGTCATAAAATTAGATATAGTTATGTTAAATCTGGTTCACATACATTTCTGACACACACACACACACATTGCCACACCTGTTGCGGCCATCCCCATCTGTTAAATCAGGATCAATTACAATTCTGACACATATGTTCTCCACACACGTTGCACTTTCTAACACTCTGAGGTAGTTCATAAATATATATATAGTTATGTTAAATCTGAACCACATACATTCCTGACACAAACGTTACCATACCTGGGACGGCCATGTGTATAACGCATCCAACCAGAAATATGACACACACACACACACACACACACACGTGCACGTACATACAAACGCATACATACGAACCTGTTTATAAAAGTCGAGCATCTCCTCTAGGTTTCCTAATACTCTGTACTTAGATCGACGTGTGCGAGCTTACAACATGGCTGATGTCTGTCCTAACGCGCCGAAAAAAGCTCACCCTTTTTTGGCAAGAATAGAAAAAATGTTAGAACATGAAAAGATTCAATATTGGGTAATGTCAAACGGATGTACAGCCGGGTTTTTTTTTTTTCGATGCAGAAAAAGGAACCGTTTTGCTTCAGCGTTTAAGTCTAGGCTTAAAACGTATTTGTTTACTCAAGCCTACACTGATTAGATTCTATTTTTACTACTTCGCAGTCGTAACAATCTTTTTTCTCCCTCTCTCCTTTTGCCGAGCCACACACAAATTTATGGAGATACTAGAGATCCAGATCCTTTCTGCCTCTGGATGGAGCACAAATCTTCTCTAATTCCAGACTGCTGGGACTACGGCTGCTCCTAAGGCCATACAGACTTCATATAAATCCATAATGAACTTTTTCACACTGTCTGATGTTATCCAGATGAGGACGGGTTCCCTTCTGAGTCTGGTTCCTCTCAAGGTTTCTTCCTAAACATCTTACGGAGTTTTTCCTTGCCACCGTCGCCACTCAGTGGCTTGCTCAGTTGGGATAAATTCACCTTTAATATCTGTATACCGTGTTGATATTTCTGTAAAGCTGTTTTGAGACAATGTCTATTGTAAAAAGCGCTATACAAATAAAACTGAATTGAAAACATTCTAGATCCAACAATTTGTAAGGGCATCTCCTGTCCACAGCCTGCTTCAGGTCACCCCACAGATGTTTAGATGGATTCAGGTCTGGACTCTGGCTAGGCCAATCAAAAACATTCATCTTCTTTTGGGTAATGCATTCCTTTGTTGGTTTGAATGTATGCTTTGGGACATTGTCTTGCTAAAAGGGGAAATTCCTTTTCATCTTCAGCTTACTTGAAAACAGCTGAATGTTTTATATTATGTTTTATATTTATGTTTTATACTAAAATTGGTATTTGTACCCATTCGTGATTCCCTCACCTTTAAAAAAAAAAGCCCCAGTTGTGGCTGAAAAAGCATCCCTAAAGCATGACGCTTCCACCACCATGCTTCACCATGGGGATAGTGTTCTTTTGGAATTATACCTTTTGCAATTGGTCTCATTAAAACATAACACATTTTGCCACATAGTGAAGGGCGCATGGTGGCTTAGTGGTTAACATGTTCGCCTCACACCTCCAGGGTCTGGGGTTCGATTCCCGCCGGGAATGCGGAGTCTGCATGTTCTCCGGTTTCCTCCCCCAGTCCAAATCCCCCAGTCCAAATCCCTGATTGGCGTGTCTAAAGTGTCCGTAGTGTATGAATGAGAGTGTATGTGATTGTGCCCTGCGATGGACTGGCACCCTGTCCAGGGTGTACCCCGCCTTGTGCATGATAGCTCTAGATTGCCCGCGACCCTGAAAAGGAGTAAGCAGTAAGCGGTAGAAGATGGTTGGATGGAAGTTAGTTAGCATCCATTCCAGTTGGATGGAAGTTAGTTAACGTCTAATGTCCTTTACACATTCCTCAAATGTATTAATCAGTTTTCACTGAAACATACAGCTGTGTATCATCAGCATAACAGTCGAAGCTAATTCCATGTTTACAAATAATTTGACCCACAGTACATACATATAAGAGATCTTAGATGCAAGAGATCTAATATTTAATAATCTTAACTTCAGATTAAAGGTGCTGATCTGAAGCTCGTTTACTCAGAGTTAATGGAGAACCTCAACTTTCGGTTCCAAAAACAGAGGTAACTTTCAGGGTATGTACTGTAGCCATAGCTACTTACTCTCTGAACATCACCTGGTCTGAAGCAGGTTATGTTCCAGGATGAGTTTGTTTCAGAGAGCTGATGGAGCACAGCGGTGCCCTTATGAGTTATGTCCTGTGGACGAGGAAGCACGGATTATATGAAATCTTTTTCACTGTGAGAGGAAGATAAGACCAGGATGAATATTTCAGGAGTGTTACCATCATTCACATGAATCATGAATTTATTTAACAAATAAATATGAGAGAGTGGACAAGACAATAACACCAGTAATACACAGAGGCAACAAAACAGGGGCTA